GTTTCAGAAAATGAAAAAGGAAGAAGTTGGTTTAGTATCTGAAAGTTATTAATTCAATCCAATTAATTGTGTTTCTGAAACTAATGAAAAATTTGCGAATTTCTGGTTGAAAAGTCGATGAAAATATTCTTTTCTTTATTTTCATATAAAAGATTCCAAAACAAAGACGAGAAAAACAATACTTTTAAAAAAATTAACTTTTTTAACATTAGACATGTTGTCTACTGCAAAACAGATGCTTTATACCCTGCTTCTCACTTTTATTTACTATAAAAACCGGTTATATGTACTCCATAATTGTTATAGAAGCCATAAGAACTATCTCAAAAAAGTTTTAAAGAGACAAGTTTGATCAAATTTAAAGTTTAAAAACATTTCAACTACACTCTAAAACAAACGTGTTCTTCGTGTTTTCAGAGAAAGAGTTGAAAATCTGATCACATTTTAGTTAGAAACTCTATCCGGTGTCGAATATGTTCCAAGAAGTGCCACTGCATCTATAAACGTCGGTCAAGACACATATTTTGATAACTCAACTATCTTCGAACAGTTTGAGAGACTGTTTATGCTACTGGAATTCAAAGAAGAATACAAAGATCATTCGATAGAAATCGTGGTTGATAATGCGAGGACGCACACTGCAAAATTCTACAGTTTGCTCGACTTTGGGAAAGGCATCGGCACTCGTGCTCCAATAGATAGGCTCCAGTTTGTTAACGCGCAAGGTCAACAAGAAGTTGTGGAATGCTACTTTCATGGAGGGTTGTGATAATCCTAATTCAACGCACATTTCTGACATGAACGATTTTTTGTTTTTAGGTCCATACAAAGGAGAGAGTAAAGGATTCTTGGAACTGAGTAAAGAGTTGAATGTCCTATTGCCATCAAAACCGAAACTCAGCGATATCTAAGAAGCTTTATTCAAGTATCCAGCATTTCAGAACGTGAGTGAGAAAATCACTTTAACGCTCTGGCCAGCCATCTCTGCTACCGGAGTGAAATTCCGTAACGATTTTTTTGCATTTTGTTTTTCTTATAATGTTTGAGTAACGAGACGCCTAGAGATCTAGAATATCACAGATTAAAGAGAAAAGTGTGCTAAAGATTCTGAGATGTTCCTACAGTCTACACATTCTTTCATTCAGAAACTATGAGAAAAATACAAACACCTACTATTTCGGTTAAGTTAAACCTGGGGTTTCACCTTAGATTTTGATCAAACTTTGCCAGTATGTAGTAGCACTCCCATTACGGATAAATCATCAGTTATAGTCTTAACTGTTGTCGCCTTTATGGAATTTTAAACAATTAGAATCAAACAAAAGTTTATTTAAAAAGAGTGAAATAAGTACAAAGATACGCGTACCATTTTAATGGCTATTGTTTCATGGGCACTTATCTCGACGTAAATTCGTTTATCTGTGTACTTGCAACGTGACCGAATTTATTTGCATAGTTTCGTTCTATTAGGAGGAAGAAATATTTTTGTGTTTTGTTTAAAGAAAAAAGTGAAGCTGCTATATTCTCTTATCTTGGCTAGTACAACTATACGTTGCTTTTTCTTTTGTCAACAATTGAAATAAGAAAAACAAGAATGGCCTTTGAGATTTTTCTTTTTACTTTGTTCGTATATCAGTCTACTGGAAAAACGTACCCAGCTCGGGTACTTTTCGTCTACGGTAGCTCTTGCCTTTATATCTTGTGTGATTATAGTGCGCGGTGAATGTTGATCTTCCAACAGGTTTCAGATCATTTAGACGTATTGTTCGTGAGATGTGAATATTTCGAATTTCTGGTTTTTAACTTCAGATATCATTATAGCCACTTGAGATCTATGTGCCATTGTGTAACTCTCTTTATTAGCTATCTACGCTATAACTGGGGTATAGACATAAAAATAAGAAAATTTGTATAGTGAAACAATAGAATGGTTATTGTAGAAGAGTGCAGGAGTAAAAGCCGTGCGATCCAGGACGAAGCGACCAAAGAATTTTTTATTAACAAGTAATTGATGAGCATTATAAGTTGTGTAGCTCTCTTTGTTGGTTATCTACACTATAATTTTCATGTCCCAACCGTTGCTGATTACAGAGCTAGGAGGCGCTTTTTGATCAGCGGTCACTTTTAAAATTTTGAGTCATCGAAGTAAAATATCATAACTCAGTCTCGAAATAACAGTTTTAAGGCGGTCTAAATTCAAACATTGAGCACTGTTTTATTTTTGGCTTAATTATACATTATTTGATAGAGACTTTCACGCTGTTCAATATCTAGGCTTTAGTCTTCCCAGTGCACGTTTCTATGAAAAAAGTTCAAAAACCTTGTTCAACCCGTTTTTTCGAAAAAGTTTTTTGAAACTTTTAGTTCATTTTTACTTTCTGGTGAAAATCTCAATGATTTTTCAACGTGAAAATTCGAAAAAATTTACTAAAAAATGAACAAAAAATTTCGAAATACACTTCAGACTTTTTCGCCTATGATTTAGAAAAAATGCATTTTCTCAGCAATGAGAATTTCAAAAAAAACGATTCATACTTTTGTACTAAGTTTTAAGGCGAATCGAATGGCATATGAAAGTTGGCTTTATCTCTTAACGAAAAAAAGTAGATAGATTTGCAAAACGAGTATGGTGAAGTCGAAGATCATTCGGCTTCGTTGGTAGGGGTGGCTGTCTGCTTGTTACTCGGTATTACTTTACCAGTAAAGTAACAAAAATTTGTCACTTGTTACTCGTAATTACTAACAACAAATGTTAGTTTGTTATTTTGTTACTTTTGGTAAAGTAACAAAAAGAAGTTTCTGTTTTGTTTGCTCATAAAAACTTTATTGAAAAAGTTTTTGTGAGGGTGAGGATGAAATATATGCTAAAAGATGGTGGAACGTCTTTTTGACAAGTATACGTTAAATATAGTGGGGTAATGCTTTTGTCCTCGTCTCCCCGTATTAGCCACTCTTGTTTTCCTATATATTTGTATTTTGTGTATCCCGTTTAGGGTAATGGAGTTCTTACATAACGATTCGTCGTTATTACCGCCGCCATCTATAAATATAGTACAAACTGAAACAACTTCTACTGTTACAACAGTAGCATTCAAAGAACGAAGTACCTCTCGCTTATTAAGCTTAGATTTATTACGTGGTTTAATAATAATAGTGATGGCATGGGATCATTCACATGACTTTATCAGTGACGGTAAATTACCAAAAGATCATGGCGATGAAGGTTGGAGTGGTCCTTTGGCCACATATGATAACAATGTCGGCTTATTTTTACAGCGTTGGTTAACCCATTTTTGTGCACCTGGATTCTTTTGGCTCATGGGTATTGGTATGGCATTTTTTTCAACATCACGCTCTAAACGAGGTTGGTCAAATTGGCAAATAATTAAACACTTTCAGATCCGTGGTTTATTTCTTGTGTTCTCTGATCGTCTTGTAAATATACCTGCGTATGTACAATTATATCGGAAAACAACATGGTTATATCCAGCGGTTTTTCCAACACCAAATGCATTACTCGGTTTGCTATCAATATTTGAAGTATTAACGTCATTAGGCTTAACTATGATGATATGCGGTTTGTTATTACCTACTATACAATATTTAAGTAAAAAAATTAAAATTTTTGTTTTACAAGGTGGTCAAATATTGTGTATGCTGCTTGGTGGAGCTTCTTTTGTAATATCAAATATTGTAGTTATCCATTATCAAGACGGTGATCCTACAAAAATGGAACCATTTCCTCGTAGCGCAGATCCAGCTAAAACATTCCCACAATATCTAGTTAGGGATCATTCGCACAGGTCGCCTGAGAGAAAATGCCATATGGGACATACTTCACACGACTAATAGGGGAACAATATTAGTCATTCATTCGGGGCTTCGATGGATCAAGTTTCAGCGGACCCTACACTAGCGAACGTTCATAGTAGGCGTGTTCTCTGCCAGTGATGCACCCTTGATTGATCCAACGTCATAAGTCCGGACTGTCGCTTCCTACCACCCGATCTACTGAAGCATGGAAAGAATTTTTCTTACTAATTTTAAAAGAAAGGCCACCAAATTCTATTGATTTTTTCTCACAATAAGAGTAGCCGTGGCTGCTTATCATCCTCCTGAATAACAAATTGTAAATATGTTGCTAAATCATTCTTTTGTTTTCTTTTCGCCGTCATTACAATCGGCAGATCTGAGTTGTTTTAGGTTACTTGGTTGTCTTAAGATTCGTTTTTGAAAAAAGTGCCTTGTAGCTATTTCCTAAAACTTAATAACTTAATCTTACTAAAACTAAAATTCAACAATAATACTTGATTGTGATTGGAATCGTCTATTTACAATCTATGCAACGATATGATGTTCGCTTTTAAAATATATTAAAGGCTGTTTTGCAAAATTTCACTTCTGTGAGAGCTACTACCAGGACAATTCGGGAGTCTATAACCAAACCGCACGGTTTTACTCTTCCACAGCATCCAAATAATAATTGCTGCAGGTGGCTAGAGGAAGTGGTTCTTTGGCTAAGTGAGTGTAAATGAAAAACACTGCGGAATGCGAACATCCGTATTTGAAAATGTTGAATTCTAGGGTAATGTGACACCATGCCATTGAGAGTAAACTATTGGGTAAACGTCAGGCTTATCTTCAGGTTTTCTTAGAACACTCGAGAGATCTAAATTCTTTTCCGTTCATTGTAGTGACAACTAACGGGCCGGGAGATCCAGAGTAAATGGAAAAAGAATAAATGGTCCATTACTTACGCATGCCAACGCTGACGGTTATTTCATATTATCGTAGACATCCAGTCAAGGAAATCAATAGCAGACCTAGTTCCTCACTCTTCCTGAAAATCATACCATTCGGAATGGCTCCTGTAAATGTAGCAGTTTAACACTGCAATTACTCTGTACCCAAGATACTTTTGTGAGAACGATCGAGTAAATGTCATCATCATGAAAATAGAAGAATATTCAATATTAATTATTAACGACTATTGTGGTGCGTGAACACTTTTTTACATTTTCTGCGAGTACTCTTATTATTTTGGTTCCATCTTTCTCTTCATCGACAACTAGATTATTAGTATTGCCTGGTTTATATGAAAAAGGTATCATTGTATATCCATTGATACCATGGATATCTGTCTGTTTATGGGGTATAGCTGCTGGTTACTTTTTTGTTTCTTACCAACAAAAACATTATCTACGATTATTCTGTTTTATACAAGCCATGGTTTGTTTAGTTATCTTTGGTTTAATACGAAGTATTGGTGGTACAATTGGGAACTATCGTGGCTGGTCACGAGGTGAACGAGTGGATAGTTTCATGTTAGCATTTTTAGATGTATGTAAATATCCGCCTAGTTTTGCCTATGCAACGATGACATTAAGTGGTTGTTCCTTTCTATGTGTCATATTCGATCTATTAGTTAATAAGGCGATTCGTAGCACCGAAAGATTAAATGACAATGTGTCTGTACGACAAAATGCACAAGAACAAGAAAATCAAAACCATGTGGTGCGTGGATTTTTAAGCATACAGGTTGCTAATGTAACATCTATAGATACAGATACTGTTAATAAAGGAAATCTAAGTTCAAGTAAGACAAGATGTTTATTTTACTTTGGTTCTCCATTTAGCCGAGAATTTCCATTTTGGCCATTTTGGGGGCGGTATATTTTATATCCATTATTAACAATCGGCCGTGTACCATTATTTTTTTACATTGTGCATTGGTATTTGTTAGGTTTAGGTGCGATAATAGTTCATTCATTTACTACTGGTTTGCCATTGAAATATGTACCAATATGGTGGTTTGGGTTAATCATTGTTATGCTTTTCTTATGTGTACCTTATTCAAGATTCAAAGAAAAACAAGGACCCGATAGTTTGTGGAGATTTTTATAAGCGAATCATTAATAGTTATATCACATAACCACTCTATTCTATTCTGTAGATGAAGCGATTGTATTCCTTTGGCTGAACCTTGGGCTAGAATTTTTCTTTCAGGATGTACACATATAGTGGTAAACAAGATGGCGGAGTGCTTTGTCTCTCAGTAGGTAGCGTTTAAGATTAGGGGTTTTGCGGTTGCATTTATCGTATCCTGGGATCCTCTTAATAAAAACGGTACAATGAAATTGCAAATTGCCCATACACATTTGACTGATAAAGAACAGGTTGTATTGAATTCAGATTAATTCGAGAATAAAAGTGAATTTATTTGGAACAAATTTGAAATAAGTTTGTCTTTTAAATTGCACAGCAAAACAGAAAAATGCGATAGTGCGTAGAGACTAAGGTTCTTAGCAATGAAAATGATAGGGGATTGGTTATTGATTATGACGAATCAGAAAATGACTACGAGTGATCTCTAGAAGCGACCATATTGGTTGAAATATCTCTATGTTGATTTGTGCTTATTCGTCTGGTTCCGTTTATCTGCACCAAGTAATTCAGTTGAGGGCCAGGTGTATTGAAGATACGTGCAAATTATCTATTTGACGAAGCAGTAAAAAATAGAAAAGAGCAAACGAAGTATAAAACTGTTGCAGTATGCAGTATTTCTACTTCTCATAAAAGTCATTATAGGTATTATGGTTATGTAAACAATTTTAACTTTGTAGTTGTCCTTATCTTTGTTCGTTCTTTATGATGACACATCTACCCACATTATTGTTGAAATAAGCGCTTCATAGAACTTATTTCTCGGTCGTGAAACCATTTACTCTAAGTACACGGATAATAGACAGTGAGTAACAAAATTACTCATACATCCCTCGTATAAACATATGATTAATATTTCTCTGAAAAACGCCAAAGTATTGCAAGTTTATTAAAAAAAATTGAAACAATGAATTTTTTAACGGGACTTTTAGGAAACGATAAAACCCAATTTTTGAAAAGTACAGTCTAACTCTGCAGAACGGAGCAAAAATTGATCTCAAATCATTTTGGATAGCATAAGAAGAGATCTTACATGTTTGGGAATATCAAATTCAAGCTCTTCTATCCATCTAACTAGTACGAGAGTCTATTCGTCCAATAACAGAAACGTGTCTTAACTAGTAACCACAGAAAATTTGAGACATGTCGATGACCCTTAGGTTTTACCACTGTTGTGTGAAACATCAGCCATGGTTTATCCTTGGATTGCGTGATGTGTACAGGCTAAAAAATAAACTTTTTAGACAGTATAAACACAGTAGATCTCTAATCCGTCAACATTTGACAACGGTATCAACATGCTCAAAAACATTTTGACAGAACATGTGGTAAGGCGAAAGAGGATCATTTTAAGAGAATTAATACAAGCTGAAAATACTGGTGAAAACTGGTTAAATACAACAAACGTAAGAACAACATGTCGTCTATCAGTCTATGAACTATATCTATGAACCTGTTTCAAAACGCTAACTCATAGTTAATTTATAATGACAAGGAAAGGCTCAGTTATTGAATGATGCTTATGCGTTCAGTCTGATAATAAACTGTCGTTCTTGGATGTTGATGGAATCTGATTAAATGTCTTTGTACTCGTGCAAAAAGAATTTGCTCGTTTGCTCGTTTAATGAACTATTTGAAAAAGAATTAGAATATTGTACCCATACCTTCCATTCTAATAGCTATCCATTGAACATTGTAAGAAAGACGGTTAGAGGCATCAGGCTTAATAAGAACGTGAAAAAACCCCTTCCTGTTACAAATAGAAAACTGTTTAACTTCTCGATGCCTTATTATGGGAAGTGTTCGTTAGTTTTAGCGAACCAGTTGAAAAAATGATTTCACATCCAATGAAAGTTGTAACCTTTGGTTACAAGGCAGGACATACTTTGTCATCTGTATTTGGGAAAACATTTCGCAATACGATAAATGAGAAAAGAATAGTGTACAAATATGACTGTTCTGACTGCACAAACAGTTATATTGGACAAACAGCAAGAGGTGAAAAGCGAAAACAAGAACATAAAGATGCTTTTCAAGGTATTGGATATTCAAGGATTGCCAATCATAGTTTAGTTACTGGTCATAGAACAAACTGGAACAGTGAAATTCTTGCGTTTGAATCTCATGCAACAAAAAGAGAGATAAAAGAAAGTTTACTAATGGATTCACACAGGAGAAAGAAAATTAGGAATATTTATTCTCAAAAAACGTTTATTCTCAATGTTTTCTGATGACACATCGGGTCATGTAGGACAGATATTGGACTAGTTTGTATTTTTATTATTTTTCTTTTGTGTTCTAGACATGTGTTTCTTCTTTTTCTTTTATGCTTAAAAGGAGATGATAAATGTTCTTGCCATCATATGACTGATGATGTCTTTTGAATAAAGACGAAACTAGTCTCAAGTGAAATTGTAACTTCATTATGTATAAGGTAGTGTTTGTCTTACTATCTATTCTTAAATTCTACACCTTAAAAAATGATTCAATCGATACTTTCATTTGTCATTGCTAGTACTTACGTTTCTTTTTCTTTCCTCCATTCGATTGTACATTTGTTTTAATTTCCTCTTCATGCAGCTGTTTTACTTCTTAAAAATGTCTGCCCTAGTAAAAGATCAGATGATCTGATCAGATCACTGGAATGTCATAAGAACAGGTCAGTGGTTTTCTGATCAGTATACTAACTTTTTCAAGAACAGGATAAGAATCCAGGGCCCATATCTGATTTCCTGTCAATTAACCTGTTTTTTTTCGAGACCAGTATTTGGTTTTCCGAACAGTATCCTGGTTCGCTCAAGCACACGATCTTGATTTCTTGAAATCGAGTGCATCCGAAGTGCATCGAATCAGTAAAGAAGTTTATTCGAGTCACGAAAAGGGATCAATAAAATTTACATTAAAAGTATTAAGGACTTCCGTAGTTTAAATGCCGTAAGCTGATACGTTCTATCCGAATCCTAATATCATTTTAGCTATCCAAGGTGATTGAGCTCAGTTGAAGAAACCGGTGCGCGAAATCTAGTTTTCATAGTTACTGCCGGTCTTCATTTTTTAACTATAAAAGTAACATTTCTCAAAGACATGTGCGTATAGAAACAGATAGTTGAAATACCCTCACACAGAAATCTAAAAATCCAACAAACAATTCATCTTAACGCTGGTGAACTCTTATATAGCGGTTTCTATATAAAGAAAGAGTGAAAAAGAAAAGCTTTTGATATAAGAAGATTTCTTAAAATAGTGTTTCCTAACGTAATTGACATACCGATTTCACCATGTTTTACCCAGTTTTCTCTTCGAGAACATAATGCGGTCATGGTGGGTCATTCACCTCAGACTCGTTTCGAGGTTGAGCTTAAAGTAAGTACACAGCAATTTTATTTGTAAACACACGCTCTGCTTGTCATAGAAACTATGTTAACAGTTTTTTGAACTCTCAGAAAAATTTTGATTTTGATTTCTAAAACAGCTTCAATCTCAGACCTCTCTAAGCTCTCCCATGTACTTCTCAATTGTGGTTCGAGATATAACTGGCATTTGATCTCAAAATAAAAGTGAGAACTGTTGATGTTTTATGGTTCGCGTAGGAATATTATCGATAAGGTAACGCTTGCCGTATGTGAAGAAAGCACTCAGGCTTGGGTTTTCGGAGAATGTATATCCGCAGATATTATCGCTAGGATCAGTTAGTTATTAGAGCCAAGCTAATATTCTGTGAATGAGGCGGAATGGCTGACGAGGGAACCTTTTTAAGTGATAAAACGTTTTTTGACCGGAATGTAGTGGGATAGGTTGTCGACCATGCTGATTTCAAATATGACTATGGGAGTTGCCCGTAGCCCTATAAAGATCCGGTTTTCCAGAAACCAGTTTTTCAGAAATCCTGAATAATTACCAAAATCTTCCTTAATGAGACACGATTATAGCCCACACATTTCTGATTAAAATGAGACTTCTCCCAACTCTACACGACTTTTCTTTGCAAAGTTAGAGAATTTACAAAAAAGCTACAGAAATAGGGGGAAATTAATTCAGAACTTTTCTTGTAAATTCTATAACTTTGCAGAGAAAGGTCGTGTAAAGCTGGAAGATGTCTCATTTTAACCGGAAATGTGCGGGCTATAATCATGCCTCATTAAAGAAGATTTTGGTTATTTTTTAGAGTTTTTGAAAAACTGCTTTTCCATAAAACCGGACCTTCAGAGGGCTAATGGCAGGTCCCATGATCATATCTGGAATGAGCATAGTCGATAACCTGTAATCCATTACATTCCGATCGAAAAACATTTTATCACTTGAAAAGGTTCCCTCGTCAGCCTCAGTCCTCTGTGCGTCAAACAGGACCGAAATGATCTTTGCTACATCCTGAGATTCACTAACAGCAAAGCGATCTTACACGGAGGATATTCATAATTGCTATAAAAACATCAACCCTTGATCATTTCTCATTTCTGTGCATTTTTATTTCGAGATCTTTGCACAGTAAACATCGATTGAGAAAACACAGAAGTCCTTAGATATAGTAAGTAGTACTTACATTTTCTGAGAAAGAAGACTCGTTTCTGATACAGCCAACACGTCTAAAGAAAAATTCCAACTGTGCAACAGTAAAATAAAAAGGATTTATATGTTCCTAACCTCTCGGTCACTGCAACTGCCGTGTACTTACTACGTAAATTAGTTACTTTTTTGCTGTGTTCGTTTGTGCGAATAAATATAGGAACGAACACACGTGTATCGTATAAACAAAATTCTTTATCGCTATAGCTAACTGATTATTATTACTCAAGAGCTTTTATTTATTTTTTACTGATCAGATAACTGATTTCCTCACCAGGTTCTGAATTGCTGACAAGATTCTGACAAAACTCCTGACCAGGAACTGGGAAAAAAAACAGCTACTGATTTGTGATAAGACTCGCCACTGGTATCACGACCAAGATCCTGATCTGTCTGACCAGGTCATCTGATCGTTCACTAGCGCAGTGTTTTTGTGTTTCCACAATAATAATCGGGACTTGTTCTCTATTTTGGTGGGCATAGTCAAATAATTTTCTTTCTTTCAATAAATAGCTTATAACACCGATATACTTACAGCAGTTTGGCTGTTAGACCAGAAGAAGTTTTGCTCTACGTTACAGGGTTACTGTTAGTTGGAGTCACTCCACTCCCTCGACTAGTGCGTCAATCTAAATGCATCTCATTAATTTGAGTATTCTTCTTTCTTCTGTATAGTACCAACGAACTCAGCTGTCTTCAAATAGTGGCACGTGCAATGGCAGTGCAAACATATATGCGTAGTTACATCCATAACCGGTACCTTTTTCGGATCAGCTGTTGTTATTTATACCATATGTTGCCGAAAACTTAATCTTTTTATGCACCATTCTTAACAGCAGCTATTGAACTACAATCATCTCATGTGGCAGTTTTTAGAATATGTTGTATGGGTTCACAAATAGACCAGTTTTGTGTAGCAGTTGATAACTATAGTATTCCACCAGGCACTGGCACTAAATTCATTAACTCATATATTATTTAATAAATTCCACTTCCCTTAGTTCCAGAGGTGCAATGCCATTGATTAAAATTAATACTGGTCATGTGACGTTGATTCTAGATGGACGAATAGCTTCTCTTCTAAGCACCATATTTTTAATACAGAACACTGAGTTCTTTCTACAAATCATTGAGCCCTGTATTATTTAAAACCTTTCAGATATGCCGTTGCGACCTTAATTCTTGATTACATATTAGAAAACGGTTTTCTTTCTTTCTTCTTCAGTGTCAAACAGTTGCGACAAAAGACACGCTACGGTCAGCAAAACGCTAACGAAGATCATCTGAATTCCAAATCAATCTCTACTAGGCCTTTGATTTCTTTGCTACCTTAAGAAATAAAGGTGTGTCAGAAACAAAATGTTTTTATTTTTTTAAGATTACAAAAAAAATGAAAAGGTAAATATCTGTACTAAGAAAGCATCAAATAACAACAGAAAACGCAAAATCTGGCGATTATTTTTCGCTCGAGTTTGATTACATGAAAAGCCCTCCAATCATAAAACATGATTCAATTATTTTCTGTCCTTTATCTTGGCATACATAATAATGAAAAGCTTTTAAAAAATGTAAATCAATGTGTATTTTCCTCTTCTACTCGCTGCTTTTGATCATGCTTCTAAACTTAAACCTCTTCCTCAACTCCACAAAAATCAATTATTATTTTTATTAGGGTTCGGGTTATCGTCATAAGATCAGAGATCGGAACGTACTCATTAGGAGCGTGGGCTAAAGTGACACTACCGGGTCCATAATGCAAAGTTGGAATTCCACCTAACCCGTTCATAAGTCGAAGATCGCTGCCATAGGGAGCTCCATGAACCGCGGGGTAATTCCCGAATAAACTTTGATGAGACTCACTAACCAGGATAACTAAGGGATGCGTTTCTGGAATTTGACCGCTGGCGAACTGCCCGCCAAACCAGTCAATTTCAACGGGATGCTGTCTTAACCAATCATCTTGAAAACAAACTTCATTTAAAGCCATTTCAAATTCTTTCCTCGCTGTCTGAGGAGATTCTCCTAAGGCTACTCCTAACCGACCTTCAGCTAGCAGTTGGTCAGGCACACTGCTTGACCAGTTGCCAGCCTGTAGTATGCCCACACTGAGTGGATAAGGCAGTTTATATCGAGCCATCAACGAGTTGCTAATCTTATTTTTCTCTTCTTCTAACCGTTTTAAAGCTTTCCAGATTTCCCAGAACTTTTCAATTACACTTACCCCGTCTAGCCGATTGCTGGCGTGCGCTGCAAGTCCAGTTAATTTAAGACGGAAAGTTAAAGCCCCTGCACAAGCCGAGATAATTTGCATTTCTGTCGGCTCCGGAATGATAGCCGCATCACCTCGATAACCCCGCTGAAGAGTAGCGAAAGTTCCAAGGCCTCCATCTTCTTCCCCAACCACGCTCTGAAATAAAACTTTTCCTTTTAACTTTATTCCAGCGTCCTTAATAGCTTTAATTGCAAAAAGATTACAGACAAGGCCTCCCTTCATATCACAGGAGCCCCGTCCATAAACTCGTCCGTTTTCAATTCGCCCACTGAATGGATCTCCCTTCCATTGGTTTAAGTCGCCCGGTGGTACCACATCTATGTGTCCATTAAGGACCAAAGTTGGACCATTTTCACCGCCCCACCATGCTACTAGTCCTAAGGCTTCGGTCCGAGGAGCTTCAAGACCGGGGAAGTCTGGATGACTTTTCGCAGCTGGAAGGTCAATCTGCCAAAGATCTATTTCAAACCCGTTTTGCTCAAACTGTCCGGCCAACCATTGTTGAGCTAAGCTCTCTTCGACTGTTCCTGTTACACTAGGGATGGCCAACAATTTCTGAAGAAAGGAAACTAATTCTGTTTCATCAGGCGATGGAATCTTTTTACAATAAAATTCTATTAAATCGATGAATATTAATTCCATCGATTGATAATCACCTGGAGTGATCACATTTGTTAAATGTTTTTTAGTAATAAAATCTCGAAATGATCTTGAACCATAAGTCGGCGTTGCTGTAACATACTTGAGAATTTCTTTTCCATAAACTTTATTTCGCTGTTGTTGTTGTTTTTCAATTACTTTACAAAGTAAATATTCTAAATTCTTAAATTTATATTTTAGTGTTATGTTTTGTAAAACTTCTTTTAGTTTCAAATATTGATCATATGATAATCCAAGTGCACTTAAATATGTTGTTTGATGATCATTTTGGACGTGTGCCAACATTTTAACTAGTAATTCATAATTAGAGTATAATGTTGAAATGCCTTGTTTTACTAATTCATAACTAATTTGCTTAAAAATGAATTCAAACATTTCTACATGAATATCATTTAACTGATTTTGTAATAAATCAACACCATTTCTTAATGTGCCTGATTCATCCATCAGTTGTTAGTTTACCAGCAACGTAGAAATAAACGTTGTTTTTCAATAGAACTAGTATTTTATATTGAGTACATAACGTTACTATTAGTTAAATATTTTTCTTCTTTTTTTCGAATACACCGAAAATAATTATTTAGTTTTTGTTTTTTCATATCTGTTGTTGACTTTTTGATTATGACTGATGTCTTATCTCTAAAACATATTGAATCTGAATTCCAATACTAATGGCCTTTAAACGTCACGGATGTTGCTTTTTTTATAAATGCATTCTACATAACAAGGGGTTTGAAACGTGAACTGTTTCAGAGTTATAAACTTTTATCGACATGCGCTGCAGTTTACTTATTTTGAGCTCAATCTCTAGTTGAGCCTGGAATGGTTGCATCATGTTCTCGAAAAGAAAGCCGGGTAAAACATATGTAATTGTATGTGCTCTGTTCAATGAGACTAAAGTTAAAACTTAGAGTTTGGTAATTAATGCGCAAAACGAGTTTTTGTTTTAATTAAGCTTTGGGTATCAATTTTTTTTGATCACCAAAAAATAAGACTTTTAATCAGCAAATCAATTAAAGAAATATAAATTAAAGAAAATATATACGATAAGAATATATAGCAATTTAACCCTTTGGGGACCGCTCACGCATATGTGCGTTTTGACGTTTTTTTTTATAAAATTACGTCATGTATTCTTTCCTTACCTCATATGTACTTTTCCATCTTCTATCTTCTTCGATGACGTCAC